ATTAATAAAAAAGAATAATATATTATTTTGCAATTTTTCAGAACATACAGAAAATAAGAAGTGAAAAGTAAAAGATCGTTGCAAAACGCTGAGTATAATTCTTTATATATATGTCAGTTTATGGTAATTTGTACTTTGTACCTCCTTATAATATACCCCCTGATATAATACCCTCCTATTAAAATACCCTACTGTCTAATATACCCTGCTTTCATAAGATACTCATAGGTACGAATCAATTTCTAAATTGAGAAAATTGATTTATACCTGAGGTATCTTGTTCAGTGCTCTACAGTATTAAATTTTTTTATTTTTTTATTTTAATTAATTGATTTTTTTTAATAATTTTAGTATTTATCTTTATATTGAATATGAAAAATATGAAGATTTAGCAAATGTTGAAAAATTATTTCAACATCAATTATTTGATTTGAAAGATAATGAAATTATTGATAAAGACGGTATTTATTAGCCAATTGAACTATTTTTTTGTGAAGATTAGAAATTTATGTATATTGTTATGGGATTAAGTGCACCTAATTCAAAATACTTTTGTTTGTATTGTAATTGTGGAATATCATTACGATAGAATATGGATAAAATTTAGAATAATACAAGTAATACAAAATATAAGTTAATATATTATATTAAATTAATTTTTTTTTTAATATAATATATAATATTAATTATTAGGTAAAAAAAAATCATTTTTATTCTTGGCAATTAATCAAGAAAATTACATACCAGATAAGTTGCATCTGCTTTTACGTATATCAGATGTTTTAATGGAATGTTTATTTGCTGATTTAGTAAAAAAAAAAGAATTTCAAAAACAAATAAAACCAGAAATAAAATTAGCATTTAAAAATATTAAAGTTCATTTTGAATTTTTTCAATCTAAATCATCTGAAAAACAATGGAATTGGACTTCTTTAATGGGTTCAGATAAAAAAAAATGTTGAAGAAATTTCCAGTATCACATTTTATTTCAGGTATTCGTAGAGAGGATATTGAAAAATTATGGCAAAAGTTTTATCGTTTATATATGATTTACGTAATGCACATCTTTCAGATTAAGAAATTGATCAATTTGAAATTAATGCCCAAAATTGGATCCATATATTTTGCTGTCCAACTCAAGGTCACATTAATAGCTCTATTCAAATTTCTGGTTTATATCAAAAAGAAGATATAACTCTATATATGTAGGGATGGGGCGGTTCAGTTCAGTTAGGTTTCAGTTCTATAACTCCGGTTCTAATAGTAGAACTGAACTGAACCGGGTTTTTTGAACCGGTTCCAAATAACCAGTCTGAACCGGGTTTCTTGAACTGGTTCCAATTAACCGGTCTGAACTGGTTCATACCGGTTAATTGGAACCAGT